TATCTATCTATCATCTATCTATCTATCTATCTATCTATCTATCATCTATCTATCTATCTATCTATCTATCTATCTATCTATCTATCCATCATCTATCTATCTATCCATCCATCCATCCACTATCTATCTATCCAACCTCTATCTATCTATCTATCTATCCACTATCTATCTATCTATCTATCTATCTATCCATCATCTATCTATCCATCCAATATCTATCTATCCACCATCTATCTATCCATCCATCTATCTATCAATCATCTATCTATCCATCCTCTATCTATCTATCCATCCTTTATCTATCCATCCTCTATCTTTCTATCTATCATCTATCCAATATCTATCTATCCTCTATCGATCTATCTATCTATCCATCCAATATCTATCCATCATCTATCCATCCAATATCTATATATCCTCTATCGATCTATCTATCTATCCTCTATTGATCTATCTATCTATCCATCCGATAGATAGATAGAGCCCGGGACCAGCGTGACAACGGGAGGGGGGACGGCACACACGAGCCGGTAGCTTATACAAGCGATCCACCGGCTCTATAGCCGGCGGATCGCTTGTATGTTAACGGGCATCGCTGCCTGTTTTTAAATGTTGCGTCCTTCCCGCTTGTGCGCGCCGATTGAGCGGGGCTAACAGGCCGTATATGCACGGCCTGTTACATCCAAGAAGCTTCCGGCCGGCCGTGTAAGTACAACGGCCGGCTGGGAGGCAGTTAAAAGTATGCAAAAAAAAGCACCTCAGTCTAAAATGTAACTGTGAAAATGGACATGTGGTCCCGGCCAAAATCCAAATCAGATCCTTTATCCTGATATGGGACTGGTATGGATTTCAAGGGGGACCTCATGAGTTAAAAAAAAGAAAAATTGGAGTTTCTTTTCCCCCCATCAGTCACCTCTTTTCACATAAAAAGCCCCACCTTTGCACAAGGACGTCTCGAGGCCGGGTGTCATCCGGAGCGGATACCGGGTGGGTGACACCCTGCTGTGGCGTCACCACGCGCGTGACGTCATCGTGCGGTAAGCTTATTGGTGATGGACGCCGTCAGAGAGGAGGGGACGTTCACCCGGCAGGATAAGGTATGCCGCCGGGTCCCCTCCAGACACTGTCGGGTTCTCAGTCTACAACCGAGTGCCCGACTTTTCAATGGGGGTAACACCAAAATGACTGTCAGTCATTTTGGTGTCACCCGGGTGCGGGCCACATCCCCCATGTGGGGCCACTGCCTTTGCATCTGGGGCTCTCCCTTACATCAGGAACCCCCCTTTACAACAGGAGCCACTTTCACATCACAGCCCCCTTTACTTCAGAATCCCCCTTTACATTAGATCCCCCCTTAACATCAGAGTCCACCCTTCAAATTTGGAGCCCCCCTCCACATCAGAATCCGTCGACCGAGCTGCTAATAACACCAGCGGTGACTGACAAGCGTTTGACACACATTAGCAGCTCCCTATGCTGGTTGTTTGACAGGCCTCTTTTCATGTCCTACAATGTGACAGCTCCATGCCTCGCCTGCTGCAAAGCGAGAACCTGGCCTGGCCTGCAGAGACGTTTCCAAATAACAGGTGTGAATGTCTTGCGATGACACGGGCATGTTCCAGTGATTTGTCGTCAGGACTGATGATCCCTCCCCGGTACCCGCACACTTCTGACGGGGGGAGGTGACAAATCAGCTCCTGGTTGCAGGGGAGAAAGTGTGCCGTCTAGCCACGCCCCTTCTCACGCATAGAACGCGATGTATACCACCTAGCCGCGCCCTCTTTCCCGGCTTAGACCTGTTGTGTGCCGCCTAGCCACACCCCTTTTCCAGAGTAAGGCTGTGTGTTCCACCTAGCCACACCCCTTTTCCCGGGTGAGGCGAATGTGATTGGTGGAGACGCAGAGCGGTGAGTTGAGTGTTCTAGGAGAGCGCAGCAGTCAGTGACAGTCAGAGCGATTTACCTGCGAGCTCCATCATCCGCTGTGTGCCGGTGATCGCAGCGGAGGAGCCCCCCCATATTCAGCCGTCTAGCAGCGCTATGCCCACTGACATCATGAACGCAGTGAGGATGCAGCCCATCTCCCAGCTGCAGCACCACAGCCCGGTGCTGCCCATCAGATTGCTGAGCAGGGGGCCAGAGTACCTGCGCCGGCAGATAGACACTGGCACGCCGCGATCCAGCCTGAGCGCAGTGGAGAGGCTGGCAGCCGACAAGGCCAAGTACGTGAAGAGCCATCAGGTGGCAAGCGGCGGCACCGGAGGCAGCTCAGCCTCGGAGAGCAGCACCAGCAGCAGCTCCGGGGGCAGCAGGAAGAGCCGGCACCAGGAGGAGGCACGGAGCCCGGATCAGCCGATCAGACGCGGCAGCAGCAAGAGGCTCCTGCGCCCGGATTCCCTGCTCATCTACCGGCACAAGAACCGTGCAGACGGGCCGATCGAGGAGGCAAGGACGGGGCTGGTGAGGAGACTGTTCCTGGGCAACGTTAAGGAAAAGCCCCCGGTCTCCGCAGCGTCCCCTAGTGCCGACGATCCTCGCTCCAGGACGGGATTGCACCGATCGCAGTCGGACATCAGTTCCAGATATTCCCGATCCTTCTCCGACTTCGACACCTTCTTCCAGTACTGCGGCCTGGAGCCCGAGGTGGTGGAGGAGCTGGGCAGGGACAGGTTCGCAGCGGCCGCGGACGATGTTTTGGACGGAGCCGGGCAGTACAGGATCCGCAGCGCCAGCGTGGCTACCTCGGACAGCGGCTTCAGCCGGAGGAGCGGGGAGGACAGCGCCGGAGGGCTGCAGGAGGACGAGCCGCTGAACGGGCAGATTCCCGGAGTGGGCAATGCCAACACATCGGTGATCGAGCGCAATGCCAGGATCATCAAGTGGCTGTACAGCTGCAAGAGGGCGAAGGAGACAAGGGGGGCATCGCCCGACCTGCCCTGATCGCCCCACTCTGCAGGGACACATGGACCCCATATGCTTACACTGCCCCAACCTGTCATTACAAGACTTGGCACCCTGGCCTAATGGAACAGACTGATATGTGGCTGACCTGATGCTGTGCCTGGCATGCTGGAACTTGTAGTGGCACAGTAGATGTGGAGCCACAGGTTCCCCCCACCTGGCATTTCCTTGTGCTATGGATGGGGGTGGTGGGCAGGCCTGATGGCTTGGTATAGCTGCTGGACAGCAACTGCTTACTGATATTTATAGAAGAGATATAGGAGACACATTGGGGGAATTAACAAAGAGAAATGCACCATTAATGTAAATGTTGGCACATTTTGGGCCAATATTCCAGCATATTACCCTCCCAGGAACCACAGGTGCTGCATACAGTGACTCATAGGAATCAATGGTCAAATGTGGGCATACTCTGGACTTGCATGCTCATGCATATGGGCACACAACCCTGGTGAGCCATATACCCGCATACAGCCATTGACCTCTATGGGAGCACCTGTGTCTTCCTGGTGGAGGAAATACGCCAGTTTGGGCTGCCCTTGTGCATGAGCCCTTTCTATGTACCAACTCAGTTCTGTGTAGGCAGGCACGCAAAATTCACGTTAAAAGTGATATGTGACCGTTTCCATTAATTACGAGCACTTGCACCAATGTTCTAAGTTGAAAATTGTTATCAAATGTACCACATTGGGGTAAATGTCATAGTGAGGAGGGAGAGGCGGATGCTTATGGACGTACGCTATCATGCAGAAAATTGTCTTAGACACTCTTTATTTACTTGCCGCCTTAAGCCCATCTAGTAAATGGTGCATTTTTTTTCTCCATGTGCCAATCTTTGTTAATCCCCCCTCCCCCAAAAAAGAGTAATTGCCAAGTTCCCTGTACTCTCAGCTATACAGCAAGGTCACATAAGACGAAACATCTGCCTGAGAGATCGGGGAAATGGGATCTTATACTGGTTACCCGCTGGGTCGACATGATGGTGTAAATGAACAGCCAGCTTCTGGGGGGGGGGGGATTGTTGCATGCAATCCAGTTCCATCTTTATTGTATTCTTTCCTATGCACAGTGTTGTCTGCAAAGTACAAATATTTATGGCGCCGCCTCTGTAGGCGCACACTTTTCCAATGCTCTGTTCACTAAAAGCTTTAACGAGAAAGAGAAATATAAATATTCTTTTATCTTTTGCAATGGGTGGTGAAGACTCGGTGATTACAAGGTGGATTCTGTGCTGCACAACAGCTGCCTCGGATCTAGATTTCTAGAAATGTCTATCTCTAGCGATACAAACGAGATTGTTCTTTATGAGCTCTACTGAATGTCACACGGCTCTCGGTGTCGTAGTCTCAGATCCTAATCTGACAGCCGGGTGTGTGAATGTGCGGATTGCTTTGTTTATGAGCGCGAGCATGAAAGGATGGTCCGCAGCCAGAAGTGGTGCTTGTTGTTTTATTTGCTAGCAATGAATGTATCCTATGCACTGCCGAGATTTATTTTTATTGATGTCTTGAGCTTAATCCTTGAGACACCAAGTGAACGTATCTCTGATCTTTTCTATGTGTTACCATGTAACGAGGATGTTACTTTAGGCCCCATCTTAGCCTGTTGTATCTGTGCCTAAGGCCTCATTAATATTAGCAGCACGTATGTGTGTTCAATTGCAATGTACTAAAAGGAGTCTTATTATACAGGATTTACATAGCGCCAACCGTGTGTGCAGCGCCTTACAATATAAAGGGAGACAGTAGAATTACAATACAATTCAAGACAAGTCCAATGTTAATGAATGGCTCCGTTCACCTGATTAATGACATCATGCTTCTATGTGCAGAATGTTTTATCAGCAGCGTACAAACAAGCTAGTGCATGCACTTTTGGTCAGTTTATTTAGTAGAAAACACAGGATTATATATATATAGAGAGAGATATCTGTAGAATATTTTCATATAGAGAGATGCTTAGATAGAGGTACATATAATTTATATATATATATATATATAAATAATACACAGGAAAAACAGACAAAAACACACTTTCCTTTGACATGCGCCTACACGCTGCTACTGTGAATGAAGCCAAATAGAATTAGCGGCGCTTCCTTTTTATTGTCTTCTGAAATTAATATAAAATGCATAATGCCGTTAATATTAAAAATAGTTCATGGCTTGACACTCAGGCCTCATTCACACCTGAGCATTGTGACACCGGACGCTGCTGAGTCACTTGAAAAACACGTCTTTAGAGGAGTCGCTCATTCTCATAGCACCCCAAGTGGGCCTTGCTCACACATGCAAAGTCATGTGTCAAAATGCTTGTTACAAAGTACTTAGTGTTTTGGTGCGGCACGATTTAAAAAAAAAAAGGTGTATGTACCATTTTGATGCATTTGCCGCATGTACGGCAGCCCGTTGAAATAATTAGGCTGCTGTGCACGTGCCAAGTATGCACATACATGCGTTGCATGCCGTTGTGGTGACTGTTATCTGTCTTCAGATATGTTATTCATATTTTAAAAAATAGGGTTTACTTTAGGATTACTTCGAATTATATTTTTGCAAGGCTGTTTACCAAATTCTAACAAAAATTGGTAAAGATGGGGTGCGATGGCGTAAAACTGGGCAACTACTGATGACACTAGGGGCTTATTCAATACAGCAGTGCAAGGAGTAGTGGAGTGTGCAAAGTGACGTGACCTGTACCAACCTATTAGAGTTCAGTTCACTGAGATTAGCGAAGAGATGATTTCTGACACGTTTCTCTGGGTTAGTGAACTTTGGGACTCATACACATGGCCATAAACAAAATAAACCCAGTGTTTTTATCAGTAACTTTTTATATCACAGATCTGAATGCTGGTGTATTTTTTTTCCCCTGGGCTCATGCACACGCGCTGAATGCTGTATGGGCAAGTACCTGTCTATACGCGTGTAATCGCAAGCAATTTTCTGTCCATTTTGTGAATTTTTATGCAGGATCTTTCTGCCAGCAATCTCATCACCGCTGTGTGCACGAGGTCTTACTGTGCTTTGCATTTCTTCATAGAACAATTACATTTTTGATTAATTTCCATTTCAGAGTTAAACCAGACACAGTGTTTCGAGGATGGAATTATACTCCTTAGATATACAATGTGTGGCCCCTATCACACGGGCGCCATCCATTCTGTCTCAGTAGGGGATCCTAGATGGATCAGAGCAGAGACAGATGTAACATATACACTGAGTGGCCAGATTATTATGACCACCTGACGTTTGTAGGCAAATTTGCTATAATTAGCTATAATTTCGCGCTGAAGTTGCTAGAGGGCCAGACCATTATAAATAGGGAAGCAGGTTGTTTACCATGACAGTAGACGTGATTTTTTTCTGAAGATATGGGTAAACAACGCGATTTAACAGCCTTTGAACGTGGGGTGATTGTTGGTGCTCTGAGCGATGGAGCGAATATCAGCAAAACAGCAGAATTCGTTAAATGTTCAAGAGCAGCTGTTGTTAAAGTGTTTAAAGACTGGACTGTCAGCCAAAAATCTGGGTCTGAACGTGCAAATTGTGGCCGCCAGCAACTAGTCAATGTTAGGGCAGAACGGAGAGTGGCAAGACTGGTACAAGACAACAGAAGGGCAACAGTGCCGTGTCAGATTCCTCGCATCACCTTTCAACATCTCGTAGAGTCACGAGGCGGCCCAACGAAGTCATCTCGTGGCCCAACGAAGTACTGATGGGGTGGTCATAATAATCTGGCCACTCAGTGTATGACATCCATGTTCGTTCCAGTTTTTCTTCTATCTTGGGATGGAGGAAAAATGGACACATGTAATTACTATAGGTGGTCAGATGTAAATGGACATGCGCCCGCCTACATCTGCTCATATTCAGTTGACCCGGGCACAAACTTTTTGCGTTCGGTCTGCAAACCTAAACTCACACAGAAGTGGGTGGATATAGGCGGACGTACGTCCACTTACATGCTTCCACCCATAAGGATGTATTGCAGCCCATTTAAATCATGGGTCAATAGCAGACTGATGGAGAGGCCTCGTGAAAGGGGCCTATGACTTGTATTCCAGGAGAGAAAAAAATCTTTCCTCTCTCTGATTCTGTTTAAATAAATGGCCACCATTTTTTGTGTATAGGTGTCAGATCTTTGTAGAAATGGTACTAGGTTGTACAGACATGGAGGTGTTGAGGAGTTGCACTCTTCATGCAGCGGCTTGGTGTTAGTAGCCCAGGAATGCATATTCTAAATCAAGATTGGACAACTCCCAGGTCGCCAATGATCCTTCAAAATAACAGCTGGCACCTACGATTTGAGGTTTTCTGTAGTTGTTGTCAATGGAACCTGTTCTCTGTTTGGATAGCCTGGCTCTTGCATTCTGTACTTATTTGTCCACCCCTGTGCTAAGTGATTGACTCTTCTTTGATGGCTATTTGCTTGGTAGCCATGAACTTCACTGATGAGCGATTTCTAAGCTCATATATCCATCCTTATGCCAAGCTTGGATGTAGTGAGAAGGCAGCACCTGGTACATTTCCCAGCTTAGGTCTAGAAGCCCCGGTGTTGTATTATCTTTATTTCTGGGTCATGCTTTCAGGTTGCAGACTGATTAATGCAGCCCACGTGTACGAGTGTTAAGATGGATAGGAACCTTTACATTTCTGATTCCAGCTTCCCAGCTATTGCATGGAATGCAGATTGTAGCCTGGGGCTCCACCATTTGGCTCCCAGTTGGGGAGTGCCCTGTATTGTTAGACACCAGTCATGTAAACACAAGGCCTTGCAGCTCTTATATGACCAGGACAGTTTCCTGCTTGATGGATTACTTGGCTCTTTTGCAACCAAGGACTGTTTTAACCCTTAAAGGAAGTGTAAAATCCCAGCATATACTGTCCTGTTATAAGATCAGCATTGTAACTGAATACATACTGGAGTTGTTTTCAATAATGCTTACTTGTAAAAAATTCCTTTTATGTAGTAAGTGCTGCCTTCCGTCTGCCCATCATTTTCACCAGATACCCTTTGGT